AAATGAACATTCAATGCACGAGCAACAGATTTGGTTGACATTCCTGCTGTCATCATGCCAATTGCGTGCTCCCTCAATGCTTGCGGCATCTGTGGCATTTTGCTTTGAGACAAAACTGCACATTCCAGGGTGGCCTTTTATTGTGGGCAGTATAAGATACACCTGTGCACTACTCATGATGTTAGATCAGCATCTTGATGTGGCACACCTGTGAGGTGGGCTGGATTATCTCATCAAAGCAGAAGTGCTGCTCACGATCACACATTTAAGGTTGGTTTACGCTTGACGCATCCACGAGGTCCACACGGCTCCGCGCGGCAAATTTGCGTCATTTTAACAACCACGTCCCTCCACCGCGTCTCTGCACGGCCCAAAATTTCCACACCGCGCACCTAGGAAATTTTCGAACCACGCGGACGGTCGGACGCGGAAAAACATGGCGGACCGGCAAAAACTAGTATGGCAGAGGTTCGTAAACACAGACATTTGTATGATTCAGCTCTCAAAGATCACCTTGATCAACATGTTGTTAATAATTCTTGGAGAGAAATAGCTCGCACTGTCGGAAAAGACGAAGACGCTGTTAAAAAATGCTGGAATGCCATGTTGTAAACAGTAATTTCTACTTCTACTATGGTGTAGTGTTGGGTGCATGCCGTAGAGCTCCATGCTGCCCCGTTCAGTTTGGGAGAATATTGGCTCACCGCAGAGAAAAGCCGCATGAACCATAAACGCTGCGAGTTGTGAAGCGTGTTCCAGCCGTGAGCTGCATCACTAAGCAGAAAGTGAATGCGTCAAGCATAAACCAAGCTTTAGACTGATTTGTGAACAATTTTTGAGAGAAATGGTAATATTGTGTATCTGGAATGAATTTTAGATCTTTAAGTCCATCTCATAAAAAAATCGGAGCAGAAACAAAGGTGTTGTGTTTATATTTTTGTTGAGTGTGTGTATATATATATATATATATATATATATATATATATATATATATATATATGCATACATACACACACACACACACACACACACACACGTATATTTATAGCATAATAAACATATTAAAACTGAATTACCATTAAGAAGAGCATTGAGACACATATTGGGACAAATCTAAACTTGATTATATCTAAAACCCCCAAATTATATTTATTAATTTTGAAGCATTTGTGAAGGTTTATGATGATGTGCAGTACATATAGAAAATACTGCTCAACAGTTACTATGACTCATAGAATTGCAAATGGATGAATCACCCATGTGTATCACTGAGATTGTAACTTGGTCGAGATGTTTAATGCCACACAATTGGCAAGATTATGGCTGCCACTGAGTCAAGCAAGCACATTTTCCATACAGTGTCTAGTTTTACCATTAATAGTTGGTTTACTGTATCCATTTTGTGTGGGGAACATTAACACATTGAATTGGTTCCATAATAACCTCTGTCTTCCTGGCTGGAGAATAAAAATGTAGCAACCATAAAATGTGTTACACCCAAGGCAGTTTGAGTAGAGGAAACAACCATTAACATAGTTATTTAGGTAGATATTGAAATTATAATTAATCAACACTATTAATAATTGGGTGTTATTGTTAGATAAAACTGATACTGACTGGACGAACTTTCTACCCCCATGGAACACAAACGAACATGTTCTCGCGGTCCCCTCAGTCATGGGAATGGGGACCCCTGAAGGATACATCTGGAAATGCGGAAGCTCTCTCTACCTGTACCTGCCACTCAACTGGTGTGGAATTTGCAGTTTGGCTCGACTGCACCCCTCCTCATATGTCGTCACGGAGGAAGGGGCCGTCCTTACGAGGATATCAGAGCTGAAGAGGAATAAGAGAGAATTTAAGCCTGTTATGGCCTTCCGCCCATTCTCCAACGACGAAAGCCGCGCCCCTCTCTACGACGACCCCAAAGGAATCCTCTACACCAGGGGTGTCAAACTCATTTTAGCTCAGGGGCCACATTGAGGGAAATCTAGTCCCAAGTGGGCCGGACCGGTAAATTTAAAAAAACTTCAGATTGTTTTCTTTGTTTCAATACAATCAATATAAAACAAGGCTGGAGCCTGAGGACAGTGTATCCAAAAAAGTACAACACCTGAAGTGTACTTGAAAGTTTGAAAAAAAATAAATAAATCAATAAATAAAAAAAAAACATTCCTTAGTGATTCAAAGAGCTTACAGATCACATGGCTAGATCCGTTTCATGCAGCACTTAAAGTATATTTGACTCATTTTACTTTACATCTTTTAGCTTTCACCAGCACATCAATATCAGAAGTCACATCCTGAGTGGCAGCCAACTTCAGGATGTGATTCAAGTTCTTGTGTGAGCCTTGAGTGCAGCTTTGTTGTATTTATACTCATTACAGAGAAAACTTGCTCACAAAGATAAGTTTATTTTCACTCTACATTGTAAAGTATGAAAATAAAGTTTACATAACCATCTCGCGGGCTGCATGTTTGACACCTCTGCTCTACACCATCTTTCCCCAGTTGGGGACTGCCAGTCTGATGCAACGTATGAATGAAGTGTGGTGGTCTCTGGAAAACATCACCACTGTCCTCTCTGATATGACCTTGTTTCTGGCAGACAATCCCAAACAGCAAGCTATGAGAACCATGTTGATGGAACACCAACTAGCCCTGGACACTCTTTTCTCCTCCGAAGGAGGACTCTGCGCAAAAATTGGTGAGCATTGTTGCACCTTCGTCCCCTCGTCACGTGACAACTGGACTTTGATCCATGACCGTGTTCAAGTACTCAGCAACTTCCTGAAATCCAGAGAATCAACTGGAGGCTCCTGGAGCTTAATGGATTGGCTCACTACTGGTAGTTGGTATCAGCTCTTGTTAAAATGTCTTGCACCTGTTATTTTTATCCTAGTCATAATTTGCTTGGTTATAAGCTGTGTAAGCCCTTGTCTGAAGAGTATGGTAAACAAGCTAATGACAAATGCTTTGGTACAGTACATGCTCCTGCAGCAAAGAGAGGAGCTGGAAGAAGAAAAAGAATACCTCGCCTGATAAAGCTGGTTTCATTATGATTTCAACAATGTAAACTACAAATTCTGTAACCATTATTGACTGATGTCCTAGTTATCAGCTCAGTTGATTTTAATATATTTTATCTTTTTACTTTGTCATTATTATAATCATTATTATAATCATCCATTTATTACAGGTTGCCACCTATTGTTGCAGCCTTCTTTTGTTACAGGTTGTTACGTATATTACAGCCTTTTTGGGGTCACTAATTATTTTGTGATCGTTTCGTGTGTTAGAGTTTGATTTTTACAGCTACAAACATATTTACCTTAGTCGTAGTATTGTTATTGTTGTTTTTTTCTCTGTTAATTATAGAGGATGAACCTAGCGTTTACAGGGAGGATTGTTAGATAAAAACTGATATTAATTAACTAATGTTAATGTCTTGACTGCTAACATTTGGTGCCTTATTAAACGTGGTTTCGTCCTGTTGGCAGATACCAGGCACCACTAGGTCTTACAGGGAGGATGACCTTGCCTTGGAACCGACCTTCATCAGTAAAACTCCCTTGAGAAAGTCTAGCAATGGCTTTGTTTTATTTAGGGTGCACTTGGAGAAGTTTAGACTCTCTTTACAGCTTTCCCGCCTGAGAGTCTTAAGGAATGTCAAAATGTGTGTGCGTTAATCTTTGTGTGTGCCTAATAAATGCTTTCGGAGGACGTCAGTCTGAGAGAGTGAACTGAGACCCAGGTTTTGTGTGTATTTTTCCTCTCCACTTTGCGAAGTCTAAATTGATTGTTTATGATTGGTATTGGTGTTGATTGATTGATTACTATAACCCCCTGTGCTTTAAACTTTCCCTAAGGTAATGGATTAAAAAAATTACCAAACTGTTATTTATTTTTCTTCTTGTCCAAAAGCACATCAGGAATGCTCTGGCGTTAAGAGACACTTGAGCAGTAGACTGAAATTCATGATTGCTTTACCAAAGGTTTACATTCTTTCAAAGTTTTTTTTATTGCAGTACAGTTGGTCACACTGAGTTTCACATACATGCTGACGGCTGTGATCGCCGCGTCTGAGGCTCCGCTTGTAATTTAACAGTCCCAGTCAATAATAGATCTCCACAGGTGACCAGCATGACTACAGCCCCTACATGTACCGTACATGGTCTTCAGCTCCAGTTTTCCATATTAGCCACCAAAAGAAAACAGACAGATAAATAGTGACTTTCTGTTATTGTGACGGCAGTAAGTAAGGCTCGTTCCTGGTGAGACTCCGCCAAGTGTGCCCGTTTTGACCGATTCTCTTTTCTAGTTGCAGTCAAGGTGTTGAGGGAATCTATTTTGGAGGCCTATGGATCAGGTCTCATTTTTGTAGATTATGTTTTCCTGCTGTCTTCACCAGACTGTGATCTCCAACGCTCACTGGAGCAATTCACAGCTACGTGTGAGGCAGCTGGGGTGAGAATCAGCTCCTCCAAATCCAAGACCATGGACTCAAGTCAGAAAAAGGGTAGAAGGCCTTTTCCAGGTCAGGGTCAAAATTCTGCCCCAATTGGAGGCATTTAAGTATATCAGGGTCTAGTTCACAAGTGAAGAAAAGATTGATCGGAAAGGTGGATTGGTGCTGTGTCTCCTGTGATGCAGGTGTTGTACCGATCTGTCGTGGTAAGGCTACTGCCACCATGACCCAACCCCTGATAAGCAGAGGAAAAGAGATGGACATTTGATTGATAACATCAATTTGTTTCCAAACATGAAGAAAATAATGCTTTTAAACTTTTAGTTTTACATGATGCAAAGCCATGTTTAGTTTGCAGAATATGGACGTGGGTCCTCCTTAATACGATTAACAAGGTGAGATGAAAATCTCTCAAATGAAAGATTTTTACCAGAACATCTTTACAGGTTGGAACATTTCTGTGCAAGTGTTTGCTCAATTATCTTCACTAACCACCCTGTCTTGACTTTCATTGCCTTTTCTCTCACCGCAGGACGATGCCCAGCAGCTCTTCGCCCTTTCTGCCGCTGCCGAGGAGCAGGGCATTCTTCCTGAAGACCTAGCCAATGTGATCAGGCGGCTGTGGGCTGACAGCGGCATCCAGAGCTGCTTTACACGGTCGCGAGAATACCAGCTGAATGACTCAGCAGCGTAGTGAGTAATGGGAAATGATTAAACGCACAGTTTTTGAATTACCACTGTGAGCTCATTCTTGCTTAGCTATAGCAGACTTTGTGTTTTATTAGATATAAATGTAAACGTGTTAAACAGATGTTTTTAAACACTGAATTTATTTATTCACATTAGGTGATTACTGTTGAACTTAAATACAGAACATCATCATTTAAATGCAAACTCAATTATATATATATATATATATATATATATATATATATATATATATATATATATATATATATATATATATATATATATATATATATATATATACACACACGTGGACATTTCAAATTGGTGTTATTGAGGCTGCTTCTCGCTTGGCTTTGGGATGGATTCTATTTGCAGCCTCACTGCTATGAGCTGCAGCGAAATCCTGCCTGAGTTCTCCGGGGGAGTAATGGAGACGGGAAGAAAAGGCCAATAACTTCCAGTTAGTGAATATTTCTCCCTCTGAGGGCTTGATCTTTAATGCTATAACCTGATAAGCAGAGAGGAGAACTAAAAGTAAATAAATGGATGTTTGCCTCACGGAAATTACATTTTCAACTTAAGAATTAACAGTATTTTACCTTCAAACTCTTCTTTGTGAACATTTTTTTTTATTTCATGGCAGCTCATTTAGAATTAGATAACAAAAAAAATGACATCACTTTGAAAATGTCTTTGTTCTGTATGCTTCCGTTAAATTTGGGAGCAATAAGAAGGTGACGTGCATGACGGGATGGGTCAGTAGAACTAAAATGCCAGATGTATGTACAAGTGTAGGTTGGCAGGGTAACTGAAGCTTCCAGCTGGCTTTTGGAAGATGGTGCAAGGCTAGTGTTAGCAGGGCAGCCAGCATCAAGCATGGTGAAAATGCTTCCACCCCCCACTGACCAACAGTCTGTCAGAAATCAGATTAAATACAAAATGGAGAAATACTGAAATGGATGAGTGCTAAATAAAGAAATAAAGGCACAAAATGACTAATTTATCAAACATTTTTTGTCACCTTTTAAAACATGATTTTGTGCTGATTTGAAGGCAGGCAGATGCAGATCAGACATTAAAACACAGCACTACATCTGTTTTCCCCTTTCATCTAGTGTCCTGTTATTTCCGGGAATTTTTTCTGTGCAACACCAGCAAACACTCCAAAGGAAGTTGGAAATATAACCTTGAAAAAGCAATGTCAAATTTACCAGGAAAACACTGAGACTTTGATTTTTATCTTTAAATCAGTTGTATAAGAAAAGTTTTTTTATTAGAATAAAATGACTTTTTCTACTACATTTGCAACCCAGGAAAGAATATTTGCTAAGGGATACAGACTTAAAACACTTGTTTAGCAGTGGTCTCTAGTAATTTGTACTGGGGGGACACCGGTGCACCATGTCCACAAACTAGAAGTGACGCACATCACAGCTGAGCTTCAGACACCATGATTTGGACTCTTAATCTCCTGGTATTTGGACATCTCACATCAGATTAGACAGATAACAGCAACAACACTGACTTGCAACGCAGATGTTTTATCTCCACAAATAACACAAGTCTGAAGGAGTTCTGCTGTGTGGTGAAGTTGCTAATGCTAACAATTAGCTTCTACTTGCCAAAACATTTTCTGCTGGACGCTAGACCAGCACCAGCTGTTGAAACTATCAAAACAAAAGATACAAAACATGCAACCAGTTGAATAGCTGGACCGTGCAAACTTTGGCTTTTTGATGTGCTGTATGGTAAGTGTGTGTAGATTTATTCTGAGGGACTCTGTGTATCTATGATTAGTTGTTTGCTTCTTGGTTTGAAGAATTTCCTCATAACTAGCTGATGTTTGCAGAAACTATGCTTATTTTATCAATTAGTCAAATAAGTTTGTAACATCCAAAAGGGTCAATTTTCACCTATATATTGATCAACATAATAAGCTTTCATACACGCCAGAAACTGCAAAGTCAAGGCTGCTCCAGCTGGAGGATCCAGACGCCCAAATCAACCTCTGCCCACTTATTGTTCCTCAACGCAGACATAAATAATCTGTCCCAAGGTCTGACGCAGGAGCTAGACTGCCGAATTCCTCACTAGCTAATGGCAGATCCTACAGGATTTTATAGTTATAAGTCAAATAATCAAGTGATGAATGAACAAGATGTTTAAATGAAATGTTTGAATAGTCTGTGCTTAAATCAATGAATTTGAAATGAATATTGTTCTTACATTGATCAATTTATATCACAAATCAGTATGTGTTTGATTTAACAAGTTAATCATTGTTTACACTCATACACATTACAATAAGATACATATTAAAGCTAATATGGACCTCACGTAAGAGTTTAAAGATTCTTATTCACAATCTTTGTATCTGAAGGAGGGCGTGGCTTTCTGAGGGATTTTGGTAAATACTCAGAAACGTGTCAAATTCTGATTTGCCAAACTTGGCCAGAATTCATAACAAAGTAGTTTAAGAAAACAAGAATTACTTCCCGATGAATTCAGTTTCCAGCTGACTCCCGATTCGGCCAAATCAGGAAAGAAGCCTCTTTTGAAACAATTTCCTTTGACCAAACCTTTGACCTTTGACAAAACCTTTCTGCGACGTTGCAAGCTGATACAGCCAAACAGCTTTTCCAGAGCTACTTTAACTCTCAAACATCCACCTTGGACGCTGACAAGCATTCCAGCTTCCTGTTGTGACCTGGAGACATCTCAAGACCGGACGGGTTGTATCGGAGCTAATCTACGGGCTCCAGATACCTTGGGGTCGACAGTCCGGATCTGCTGGGGGTCTCCACGCGGGTATTGTAGACACGACAGATCGCGTCTGATGAACTTTTATTAATAAACAAGTCTAGTTTAGAACCAAAGAACTAATTCTTTTACACTCAGATTTCACAATTTCTCTCAGATACAAAGAACGGTTGCTACAACATCTAGCTTCCATCACAACACCTCACATCCACCACACCACATCTCCTTATTCATATCTTGTCATGTATCATTAGCTTAGGAAAATGAATTAAATTCATTTTATAAACTATATACTGACTGTCTGAATTAATACAAAGTGTGTTTATGGTCCCTAAAGAACCTTAGAATCTTCTGACTAAACATTCAAAGATCAATCAGATTGATATTTCATATTTATATGGAATATCACATCTTATTGGTCATAATTAATATGTATTCATTGTTACGTATTAATGGCGAGCCAGCCAGGAGGTCCTTTTGGACGTTACAAATCTATGTAGGAAGCTCAGGCCCATACACACACTCATGAATAAGACAGATGTAAATATTTCTATAAAGATCATATTCTCAAGTAAATCCATTGAGAATACGCATGTCAGTGTAAAAACATTTTTGCTACAGATTGTTTCATTAAAGTACCGGTGCAGGAAGTGTCCCATAGTTGTTGTTTCAGTTCCATTTTATCACACACAGATATGTTAGCGCAGATTTAATTTTTGCTGTCTATCTCTTTGCTTTCTGTGTTAAAAATACAGATCCAAGTTTGCATTCGCTACAGATCTCAACACCATGTACAGGTCCTTCTCAAAAAATTTGCATATTGTGATAAAGTTCATTATTGTCTGTAATGTACTGATAAACATTAGACTTTCATATATATTAGATTTATTACACACAACTGAAGTAGTTCAAGCCTTTTATTGTTTATAATGTTGATGATTTTGGCATACAGCTCATGAAAACCCAAAATTCCTATCTAAAAAAATTAGCATTTTCATCCGACCAATAACAGAAAAGTCTTTTTAATACAAAAAAAGTCAACCTTCAAATAATTATGTTCAGTTATGCACTCAATACTTGGTCGAGAATTCTTTTGCAGAAATGACTGCTTCAATGCGGCGTGGCATGGAGGCAATCAGCCTGTGGCACTGCTGAGGTGTTATGGAGGCCCAGGATGCTTCGAAAGCGGCCTTAAGCTCATCCAGAGTGTTGGGTCTTGCGTCTCTCAACTCTTTCTTCACAAAATCCCACAGATTCTCTATGGGTTTCAGGTCAGGAGAGTTGGCAGGCCCATTGAGCACAGTAAAACCATGGTCAGTAAAGCATTTACCAGTGGTTTTGGCACTGTGAGCAGGTGCCAGGTTGTGCAGAAAAATGAAATCTTCATCTCCATAAAGCTTTTCAGCAGATGGAAGCATGAAGTGCTCCAAAATCTCCTGATAGCTAACTGCATTGACCATGCCCTTGATAAAACACAGTGGACCAACACCAGCAGCTGACATGGCACCCCAGACATCACTGACTGTGGGTACTTGACACTGGACTTCAGGCATTTTGGCATTTCCCTCTGCCCAGTCTTCCTCCAGACTCTGGCACCTTGATTTCCGAATGACATGCAAAATTTGCTTTCATCTGAAAAAAGTACTTTGGACCACTGAGCAACAGTCCAGTGCTGCTTCTCTGTAGCCCAGGTCAGGCACTTCTGTCGCTGTTTCTGGTTCTAAAGTGGCTTGGCCTGGGGAATGCGGCAACTGTAGCCCATTTCCTGCACACGCCTGTACACGGTGGCTCTGGATGTTTCTACTCCAGACTTAGTCCACTGTTTCTGCAGGTACCCCAAGGTCTGGAATCGGTCCTTCTCCACAATCTTCCTCAGGGTCCGGTCACCTCTTCTCGTTGTGCAACGTTTTCTGCCACACTTTTTCCTTCCCACAGACTTCCCACTGAGGTGCCTTGATACAGCACTCTGGGAACAGCCTAGGGCTGCACGATATTAGGAAAACCTGTCTCAAAATAGGCTTAATTAGCAATTAGCTATCCACTTAATTAATAATGCATAAATGGATTAATAAGAACTTTGTTCATGGTTTGTTAAGTATGAATAAGCCATAAATAAACAGCTTTTACATGAAACTAGTCATTAGAAGTTAAGCATTAATTAATGTGTTTGTCAGTTGCTTAAAAGTACTTTGTTAATGGTTTGTTACATATGAATAAGAAATGAGAAAACAGCTTTTACAAGGGACTAATCATTAAAAACAAAGCATTAATTAATGCATTGGTTAATTGTTTATTAAGTAAGAGTCATTGTTAATTAATTATTTGTTAGTAGTTACTTACATGTTTGTTCGTGTGTAATTAAGGCTAAATAAGATGTAGTTATTATAAAGTGTTACCAAACCTGCGATATTCGATAACAGTGATTAATATTGCGATGACGATATTACTTGAGATAAATAAAAACTTGACTCAGGAATAAAAATAATCAAAAACAAAGAAATAAATAACTCATAAAAATGAGAAAAGCAAAAGATGTGAGGAAAGGGAAAAAGAAAAGGGAATCCATGGATCCCGGGAAAATCAGAATCAGCAAAAAGAGCAGAGCAAAGCTAACTCAGGTGTTTGCTAACCATCAAAATTAAGTGCCATCTGCCTCAGGGACGGACATCTGACCTATGAGAACCCACCCGATTGGCCAAATGAGTGAAGAGCTCTATTAGATGTGTTAAAAAACATCATGCTTCCGTTTGACTGAAAGAATAAATTATGTGTAGCAAACATTTGAGCTGACCGGTCATTGCGATATTTATCTGTTCTCTGCGATATGCATATTGTGCATGCTGATATCGCGATAACGATACATTTACGATATATTGTGCAGCCCTAGAACAGCCTTTTTGTTCAGAAATTTCTTTGTGTGTCTTACCCTCTTGCTTGAGGGTGTCAATGATGGCCTTCTGGACAGCAGTCAGGTCGGCAGTCTTACCCATGATTGTGGGTAAAAGGCTTGAACTACTTCAGTTGTGTGTAATGAATCTAATATATATGAAAGTCTAATGTTTATCAGTACAGTACAGAAAATAATTAACTTCATCACAATATGCTAATTTTTTTAGAATGACCTGTATTAGTCACACATTGCAGCGTTGCAGCTAAAACAGACAGATGAAACTCTCCTAAAAAAGCACCACTTTTACAGCTGCAGGCTATAAAAACCTGCTGTGCAGGTGATATTTACCTCCAGCATATTACACCCAGCTTACATAAAGCAGCAATTCATGTGGGAATTGTTTCTCAGAATGTCCAGAGGCTGCAAGTAATTATCGTTAAATGCATGTTGTTGATTAATAAACAGAATATTCGCAACGAGTCACAGCTTCAACCGTGACACTTCCAAAGTGAACCACTGGATCATGAAAACCATCAGCAGCAACAATCAACTGGAAAATGGGCTTCAGAATCAATCCTGTGCATACAGTGTTACACAAAAACTAGAACAACACAGGAATCAATTCAAACTGTTCCCTTAAGCACATTGACTCTTTACACTGAACAAAATGGGAGTGTGTCAACATTGTTAACTACCAAATGAGCTTTATGTGTTTTTGTTTGCAGATGACGATTTGAAGCTTAAATAAAATGCAGTGACAGTTTTAAATGCCTGGGTGACGTGTGTTATATAAGACTTGTGTGTTTCTCTATGTCTTAGAGGGTAGAAGTCATATGGAAGTCCTATACACCTTTCTTTCTTCCCCCTAGTTACCTGAATGATCTGGAGAGGATAGCAAAAGCAGATTACATCCCCACGCAGCAGGATGTGTTACGAACTCGGGTTAAAACCACCGGCATTGTTGAGACTCACTTCACCTTCAAGGAACTGCACTTCAAGTAAGAATATTCCTTATAACAAAACTTAGAAAAGTCCTACACGAATCCTTCAATGGAAAGGCTTTATATGTTACAGTAGTCACATAGGGGAAAAAAAACACATGGTAATTTGTAGCACAACCAGGGTTCGAATATGGGGAGCGAAGGGGAGCCCGATTCCCCCAAAAGGGTGACGAGCCCCTCTAAAAGCCCTCAACGTACACACCCAAGGGAACCCCAAAAAGCATCCAGTTTCAACCTATATTACATGATTTAAATGGTCTCTCAGTGTAGCGGAACTTCTTTTGAGCGGAAAGGACGGAGAACGCTGATAGTTTACGCGCTCCAGGCAGCTGTGTCCTGCACATAGCCATTGTAAGATTCTCAAAGTCATGCCACCAAAAAAATATGTGGCATGTCCGCTCATAATCTTTTTGGTGCCTTCTATCTTTTCTTGGTGGCTGACGCTCTCTGCTGCAGAAACTCCAGCGACTCAACCTCACTGGGACTGCGGTGCTGTGTGCACTTTGCCATTTTTGCAGTCGTTACATCCTTTTGAACTGCTTAGTTCAAAAGAAACTGGATTGATTGACACCCCTTAGTGTCTGTTTTTAATCACTGTTGTAAAAACAGCAACTATTGTCCTCTCCCCCTCAATATACGCACTTGTTTCTAACCCTTAGCATTCCAGTGTCTCCCCATGGGACAAAACACATTAGTGTACTTTTAACGTCTTGATCTCGGCATTAATTAGCAGCGTGTCTGCTTTTATATCCTGGTCAGCTGACTAAAATCTTCTTGTTGTGTGTTTTTTTGTTTTGTGTTGGGGGCAGTAATGCACAATAACAGCTTGAACATTACATTTTATGACCATTAATTTTAATATAGTTTTTGGAATTACTCTGATGCCACCTTAAACACAAAGGTATCATGGTCCTCTTTATAAATCTCTGTAGCAAGTTTACAAGTTTTCCCATCTAACGTAATTCCAGAGCCAGAAGCATTAAGAGTGCTCGTCCTTCCTAATTTAAGACCCATGATTAGTTAAGAGCTAAATTATCACAGCAATTACAAACTTATTCAGCATTGCTCCTCTCAGAGGTGAGTTAATGAATCCGATCCTGCCCATGATGCACCTGTTGAATAAAACAGGACTGGAATAGGCTGGAAGCATTTTAGTACATGACACATGGCTGATGCTCTTACATAAAATATGTTCTGAAGTGTGGGCTAGGAATGGATGCTTAGCCACATCTAAACATATATAATCTGTTATATAACAAAGTCAAGAATTTTAAAAAGGAGGATTTGGATTTATTGAAGTAATTCTTCCTTTTACAGATTTCATGTAGATGGTAGTTTCTCCTATTGAACGCATCTTAACAGAAGTGACTAATACCATCGGCGGCAGCAGCCTCATGGTTCTGCTGTGACCTGTTTCCTGATCAACTCTCTGACATTTACTCTGTGCCTGTGTCTCCGTGTTTGGCCTGAATAACACACACAGAGGAAATCAATGATAATAATGAAATAAAGGTGGGGTCAAGTTTTTATTCTTTTCCGTTTGTCACCATGAACATATATATGGGAAATATTCAAATGCAGAGCAGAGGTATCAGTGCACGACCTCAGTCCTGTGGACATCAGCCAGACTTCAATCACAGAAGCGTCTCAGGTTCTGAGTGTAGAGGCACGTCGGGCTCCATAACCCTCGCTGACCCTGCTGTCTTTCATCAATAACCTGATGGACATCTTTTTGCTTCCTCACTGCTTTTGTTCTCAAAGAACCATGAAAATATAATGTATTCCCTCCCTCGCACCCCTTCTTCCTGTAAAACCACTCTCACTTCTTTTCTCTGTATTAACCTTGTTTTACTAAAACAGTCACCCCCACAAAAGCCACCTGATTTATCCCATCTTTGTTTGATATTTCCTTGCAGGATGTTTGATGTTGGAGGCCAGCGCTCAGAGAGGAAGAAGTGGATTCACTGTTTTGAAGGGGTAACTGCCATCATCTTTTGTGTTGCACTGAGTGCTTATGACTTGGTACTGGCTGAAGATGAAGAGATGGTAAGAAAGCTTCCTTCCTCTGATGTGTTTGTGGGAATCTGTTTTCTGTGTTTTATTAAAGTTTTAAACTGTCGCCATCTCCTTGATGCCGTAATATCTCCCACTGATTGCTCACATAACTTTAATTAGAAATGGCACTAATAAATAAAATTCCTGATTGTTTTAAAGTGTTTTGAAACTGCCCACTCCAGTATTCTGAACTCTTTTAAGTATTTATGAGAGACTCAGCTATAAAATGCTCTTAAGCACTTCCTCCTTTTTAAACTGTAGTGTGAAGCAACATTGCCCCCTGGTGGCAGCTCCGGTGCATTATCATCAAGCCTTGATTTGTTTTGTTTCTCTCCAGAACCGAATGCACGAGAGCATGAAGCTCTTCGACTCCATTTGCAATAACAAGTGGTTCACTGAAACCTCCATCATCCTCTTCCTCAACAAGAAGGACCTGTTTGAGGAAAAAATCACTCGTAGTCCGCTCACCATCTGCTTCCCTGAATACTCAGGTACACTGCCAGCCCTGCGTCTGCAGCACGATGCTTCTGTAGTTTTACCCCATTTAATAATGACGTGTTGTTGCTTTTCAGGAGCCAGCAAATTTGACGAGGCTGCCAGTTACATCCAGACCAAGTTTGAGGACCTGAACAAGAAAAAGGACACCAAGGAGATCTACACCCACTTCACCTGTGCCACTGACACCAAGAACGTGCAGTTTGTCTTTGATGCCGTCACTGATGTTATTATTAAGAACAACCTGAAGGACTGTGGTCTTTTCTAAAGGTAGGATCTAGAAGTGAAGGTGTGCGTGGCAAACTTATGTGTTAAACATTTTTTGAATGTTAAATATTTAAAGGATGTGAGTTTATTTCATGAGTTTGATATGTTACTCCACCATGTTTCCACGTTTCTCTTAACAATCTACTTTCAAGAGTCTTGACTCACAATCCTGTAAAGTTTGTCGGTGTGTGTAAACCTGACAAATAACAATGTGTAAACAGCAGAGAACAGCTGTTCCTTGGCATCTTGTTTAATGTGTGTAATCAGAAAAACATCCATGCACACAAAAACAATTATTTAATTCAACCGGACTGATTTTTCTTCTTGTTGTGCAGGACAATGCATCCCACCGCACACAGACTGCATGAGAGACTACAACAGCCATGTGATGATTAATGCTTTTCATAATGAAAACCAAGTCAGCAGATTTTTGAGGAGGGAACCTGCCAGAACTTCTACAATCAATATGACACAAACACCACCTTCTGTTGCCCATCATGCTTGCTCCCTAATTTGATAAAAGCAATTAAGCTACTTTATTTTATCTGCAACTATACATATATATATATATATATTTACTACTGAGTAATAATAATAAGCCCATATTATGACCTGATCAATGGATATACTTCAAATTTTAAATACCTGCCACCTCTAAGATGTTTATGGACCATTTATTAATGCTGCGTTCATTTAATTTGTCTGTTTTGTATTTGAGTTTTTCATGTTTCTCTTTTTGATTTGGACGTTACAGAGGACACTTGACAAAAATAACCCAGACTTTTTATAAATGAACTTATGAACACATGAACTTATGTTGACTCTCAACTTCTGAACCTTTGAAACTGCACAGAGCTTATTTTTTAGAAGAAATCCTACAAGCATGGAGAATGAGAAGGAATGGGGAGAAATGGTTTTTGTACACTGTTTACACTGAATCAATATTCACTCTTGTATGTTGCATCGTTCTGCATGACGGTCTTAGATTAGGTTGTGTCGCTCTGCCCCACAGAGTGAAAAACATTCCTTAAGCATCTTGTTTAAAGAAACAAAGCAGAAATGTGTCACTTTTACGGTATCTACGAGATTTTATGTCTGTTCCTGATGACGATTGTTCTCCGTCTTGTCATTCCAAGTCTTTTTACATATGTTTGTGCCTTGATATCTGTTTACACTTGTTCTTTAGAGATGTGCTGACTTCCATATTGTGAAATTGGGGCTATTTTTACTCCATCACAGAATCACGATCTAAAATGCATCATGACACAAATGGATGATAGCTGTTTATTAATCTTAATATAAAAGCCATTCACTTGTTTAGTGTAAATAAAGTTTGACCACATTACCTTGGAGTCACTGGTTTCATTCTGTTCCTGCATGTCTGGAGCCTGGCGAGCCATCCTATAAATGTAAATATATAGTCTGGACTCCACCCGTGGACAGAGCTCAGTTGTGGGGCGGAAGATACGGTTGTCGTTCTGATGGTCTCCTCATGCTACTGGACAACGAACATGACGTATTCACCGCTACAGATGCCAGTCAACGGGGTGGTAGGTGAGCAAGAAGATGCAAATACAAGCTTTTTCTAAATAAAGAACTTAAGTACCTCTGTTTGCTCTCGACTCAAAGAAAATCTCAAGTCTAAATAGTCCAAAGGTAATGCCAAAGCTCTTTCAAACGAGCCATTACCATCTTTGTTTTGCTCAGTTCCAGTAATATCCTGCCATCCCGATAAAGCAAATGACTTTGGGCCACAAAACCAATAGAATGCTTTAAAAATCAGAGTGTGAGTTTCTGGATTTTTTTTTCCTCCCTTTGTCTCTCATAGTTATACCATTGATGAAAAGTACAGGCCTCTCTGACCTTTTTAAGTGGGAGAACTTGCACAATGGGAGGCAGACTAAATACATTTTGCCCCGCTGTACATTAAAGGTGCATCATGTAAGAATATAGTGAGAATATTACAATGAGAAAATCCCGAAAGAGTCTAATGTTTTAGTCATTTTAGCAGAAAGATTATACTGAAACAGATTTCATATCCAGCTGGCTGCTGGATTGTCAGTTTTACTCCTTTCAAAACAAAGGAAGGAGGGATGTAACTACTGTTTACCATCAGTGAGTGTGGGGTTGCTGTATCTCCTGTGAGCTAGTACTGCAGCGCCGGCAGTTGTAATTTGACGACAGCTGGCAAAAAGTTCCACAATTGTTTAAAGTGGTTGCAGTAATCAAATTATATCATAGGATGTCATTTCTACCTCACGTTTACATAATGCACCTTTAAAATATATTACACATTAAAAAATGCATATAGTTTAATTATGATTTTTCAAAAATAAACTTTTTATATTCTACACTTAGTGTATAAAAAATATCAAATGTATTTTAATTTGTAATTTCACAATAATAAACCTGGCTTCTGCGGTACTTCCATCTTCCACCAGATGACAGAATACATCAGCCGGATGCAGGTTTTTGAGGGGAAGTGCTTTCTCTTCAGGGGAAGAGAGATTTCAAATAAATAGAATAATATGTTCATCAAACATGATTCGACTTCTGTGTGGGATTAAAAATTATACTGGGGAAATCGGTTTTTATTGTTTCAAAAAGAAATCTCACAACATGTCTCACTGCTGTTTTAAACTCATGAATTTAGTCTGTGGAGTGAAAGCAAAACGTGCCCCTTCACTTTAATATGAGGAGGGGCAGAGTGAAGAATTTACTCCCTTGCAAATGAGAAGTTAATTATATTTTTTGATTTTGCATCTCAAAGGTGAAAATTCATGACTGGAAAGTTTGCATTCACCCTCATTAGACTGTTTAAAAAGGTCAAACGTAACAAGAATCAGAAAGTGGTGAATTTAGATTTGAGTGAATACTGCTTAACTTGGTTGGCGCTGATCTATTCTCAATTAAATAAAAACAATCTACAGTTGAACACAGTGAGATATGCTGCAACTGTCTTTGTGTATTTTATCCAAAGAAATTACACTTTTTAAGCCAATAAAGTGTGTGTGTGTGTGTGTGTGTGTGTGTGTGTGTGTGTGTGTGTGTGTGTGTGTGTGTGTGTGTGTGTGTGTGTGTGTGTGTGTGTGTTTACAAACAGAAGGACCCCTTCTTGGCGGGGTTTGGCCTACGGTGCCTTCCTATTGGCTAATATTGTTGATGCTTGGCGATGATTGGCTGCAGCAGAACTCTCCTCTGCGTCATATTCCGCTGACAGACCAGCACCAGAGCAGAGCAGCAGACACATCACCTTCGAGCTGCTGCTACGTGTAAAAGTACAGTTTACAACATTTAGACAGTTTGATCAGTTTAAAACTATAAAATGTTCATATTTATTTCCATGTATTGCTAGTTTTTCAACAGTTTTTCAAAAGGAAAAAAAAGGTTGTGAACTTAACTGCGGATTTAAAGGAATGGTGAGTTATATTTATTTTTATGTTTGATTATTTTTGGTATTAATATGTTTGTTTATCCCATTTGTGATTTTTTTATTTAAAATTTAATATAATACAATAAAAGTGCTCCAGAAATGTATATTCCATTTCTTTCCTGAATGATTTCTGCAAATTCCAACTAAAATGATTTTAGTTTTAGATTTGGCTAAATGCATGAATCACCTCTCCTTATTGAGTGAAAGCAGCCAAGGCTTTTTAAATCGTGTCAGGCTGACCAGAGTCTCCCTGTGGGTGTTTCTCCAGGTCTGATAAGTCCTTCTCAAGGACCAAATGGTCCAGCAGCCACAGCTGTGATAACATCATCAGAGTATCCCTACTACTCCCAAGTTAAACACATGGACACATGGAGGGCTTTGAGTTTGGGGAGAGAAAAAATTAGAAAACAAACTTAGAATTTTTTGAGAACACAAGGATTTTGAATTATTCAACAAAAGCTGGAAAAGAGAGAATAATTCCCGATGAGCAGATTTAGTGTGATTATGTGGCTTCTGTCATTTCCTGCTTTATTATACACACCAGTCAAACATCCTGTGGGCTGAAAGAGTCAGAGAGGATACGTGAGCGCACCGGTCCAAACTCAAGCTTCCCTTCTGGCTTTAGCAGGCGGGGACAGTTTGTGTCAGTTTAAAATGAAATCTGATGGTGTTCTTAAAGCTGCTCGGAGGTCTGGGGGTTGTTTATCTCTCACTTGCAGAAATCTTATTGTCTCAGTTCTGGAAATTAAACCTGGAAGTGTTCATATCTCAGCTGAAACACAATGGAAACCTGCTGTGGTAGTTAATTATGAGGGTATCTTATGAAAAAGTTAACATTTCGTTTCTCTTTACACATCTTAAAGACCAAGTTCACTGAGAAACCACTTTTTACCTGTTTGTTCTGAAATATGATCACTCTGAGTTTCACATGCAGGCTAAATGTGAAAATAGTCTTCTAGCCCCATTTCCCGAATTAGCCGCCGTGGGAGCCTCTGCTTGAAGCTTCCGGACCCAGCTCAGATGGAGCTGACCAAAGTTTAAATGGGCTAAAGCTTCTACTTCCTGAAACAGGAGCATCAGAGCTTTTTTCCCCACAGAAGATACCTCACAAGGCATTCATCCACAAGAGACAATAGCAGATTCATTGAGAAAACATAAATGGAGCTTTAGAGTGAATCAAAACAATAATGTTGTGTCAATTTAGATTATGACAAAGTTGATGTTGCATTTGCATCCAGTAGCACCAATCGCACCCATCAAATCTTACTGGCTTACTTTCCTGTTTTACACATTTACCTAAGAACTGTTCCATTCCTTCCATTTTGCAGCAGTGTTTGGGAAATTCCACCGAGTGTCTCCGGGATCAGATGCAGTCCATGATGAGGTCCTGGCAGGACTTGAAGCAGACGAGAAGGCCGAGGCCACTGAGCGAACCGTGTGTTCGTTCCTTCGCCGTAACCAGGCTCTGCAAACAGAGGACACAGCAGGAGCGGCTCACCCGTCTCCGAGCTTCTGATGCCAGTGAAGCCAGCACGTATGACTCTGCCTGCTGTCTGGCTCACCCGCTTGAAGAGGAGGAGGAGGAGGAACAGGAGCATGAACGTCTGACACGGGGCTCTCCCAGCAGTGAGAAGAGCGTGGACTTGGACTCGGGCTTCTCTGAAGCTTCCTATCACGATGAAGGTGTTGTGCTGAGAAGATCCAGAAACGTGAGAGTCTCCTCCTCTGCTTGTGTCCGCATGAATCGCATCCGACCCAAATCGACGTCCGACGTCTGCCTGGAGCGCTGGACTTCTTTTGAAGCAGGTGATGTGGATGACTGGACGACGTCCCTACTGAGCCGCGGCAGAAACAGACAGCCTCTGGTTCTGAGGGACAACAGTTTTGCTGACCTTATAAAGAACTGGATGGACCTTCCAGACTGCCTTGAGCCAGCAGAGCTGAAGCCCAGCGGAGGCCGGCGACTGGCAAAAGACATTTTGGGAAACATGCGGCGGAGGCTGGCGGGGGTGTCTAAAGGCGTGGAGCTGGAGCCCAAACGGCTCAGCAGAGCTGCTGAAGCCCCCCAGAGGAGGTCGTGTCCTGTACGCGTCGAGGCTTTGAAGCCATTCTTCCATCAGTCCCACACAGGAATACATCAGCTGGACTCAGATTTCTACAAGTTCACAGCTCTGATGAAGACGGGCAGCCGGCAGCCAATCATATGCAACGACATCATCGGATATATTTGACCAGAACGGCACAAAAACTCTAACAAGAATATTCCATCAGCATAAATAAAACATTTTGCTTCATGAAAATCCAGAATATTGTTCAAAATGTACATTTTCATACCTGAATTAAATGTTTTCATTCACAAATATTAAAGTAGCTTCTTAGTTTAACATTTTTTTTTAGCTTTGCATCCAACTTTAAAACAGGAAGTTGTGAGACATCTGCACAATAACAAACCCAGACAGATCAAAGACATCTTTAATAAAGTGTTCCCACAGAATCATCACAAATTGCATCTTTAGCATCATAATTAATAAAGTTTAAACACACATCATTCAAATGTACTCACCCAGGAAATCAGAACAAGGAACAAGGGTTTAAAAGTGTGTGTGTGTGTGTGTGTGTGTGTGTGTGTGTGTGTGTGTGTGTGTGTGTGTGTGTGTGTGTGTGTGTGTGTGTGTGTGTGTGTGTGTGTGTGTGTGTGTGTGTGTGTGTGTGTTTGTGTGTGTGTGTGTGTGTGTGTGTGTGTGTGATGTTTTTTTAATCATATGTTAAACTTTTGGTTGGTACCTCAGAAAATAAGAAGAGGTATAACAATATTTCTCTTGATTTCAGTTAATCAAAGAACACTTAGTAATAAAAAATAATGAATACACGCAGGAATAAAAGTCCCAAACCCATAAAATTCAATCACACATCAGGATTAGTAAATATTGCATTACAATCAACAACTTTATTAAACGGCTCAAAGACTTTGGGTCGCCTGCATCATGGGAGCCGGTACCTGATAGTCGGTACCGTCTCACAGTCCTCATCTTCATCAAAGGAGGGGGCCAACTCCAGTATCTTCTTATGAGGAGGAATGTCAGCCTTTGTCACCAGTTTTACAGCCTCAGACACCCTTAAAGACAACAGATGTTTGTTTGTTTTCTTTTTTGTTGTTGTGTGCAAGAAAACAACAATCTCAGTGCAGGTCATGATGATCTGATGACCAAACTAAAACAGAAATAAACTTCCGTAAAATCATAGTTAACCTCCAGTTGGAGCGCATGAGAATTCAAAAGCAGCACGAGGAAGAGTTGGGAATCCTGAACTCAACTTCAGGAACAAGTCTCTAAACTCGAGTCAACGACTATAAATCTGGAAAGTCTACAAGAAAATCTGACCTTGGGACTGAAGGCAGCTGCAAAAAAAAAAACAGGAAAAAGTTTGTGTGTGGAGGCGTTTCAAGAAATTTGTAACCCCAGGATGTCTCCGTCATTACAAAAATAAACAACCTAACAACTGACCTCTCCAAAGAAAAGAGAAATAACTCATTTGAAGACTCCCCCATCTCCACCCCCTCTCAAACACACATAGGAAAAAACGGCATCGTGGAGGAACAGTGGCTAGCACTGTTGCTTCACAGAAAGGTTACTGGTTCAAACGTTAGCTTCCTTTCTGCGTGGAGTTAGCGTATTCACCCCATGTATGCGTGGTTTTACTCCCGGTGCTCAGGTCCCCCCCCCCCCCCCACACACACACACACACACAGGCCAAAAACACTCGTTTAGGTCAACTGCTGACTCTAAATTGTCCCTAGTTGCAAGTGAGTGTCCCTGCGAAGGACAGGACCCGTCCAGGAAGTCCTACGCCTCTGTGGGCGATTATCCTAAAGTCACCCAAATGTTATGAATTTCAGTTGTTCACCTCATCACCCAGATTTTTATTTTTTCATTTTGAGTGTGTGCCAATCATTAGCATAACATTAGTATAAGTATCAATTGAATATACACATAATTAATTGATTATGGATGGCATGCTCTGGAGGCTTTTTTGCATTATGCATATCTTGTGCCAGGTGGCAGGCCCCTTTTTAAATTTTCTTCAGGACTGTTCTAGTTATGATTGCACTGGCCCCGCCCACTTGACATCTGATTAGGCCCCTGAAACAGAATGTGTCAAATCTCCTGTTGTAATGAAGTCAATAGAGGGTAAATTGGATTAAATAAATTGCTTAAGAGCTATTTAATTTTATTGACATTACTTGCGACCCATAGCTGTGATAACCTATTAATTATAGAATATCACCTGCTTGGTCTTTAAGATGATTAGGCAGAAGATTGTTTATTCAGGGACTGTCATCACTTTGTTTAGGATTCAAGAACCAGTCAGGTTTGCAAACAAATAATAATTTATTTGACAAACAATTTAAGACTTGGCAAATGGTTTCAACTATTATTTACTGTGAGTGGATGCAAACTAAGAGATGGGTGTTTGGAACTAGGTGTGAATATACAGTGGGGCAAAAAAGTATTTAGTCAGCCACCGATTGTGCAAGTTCTCCCACTTAAAATGATGACAGAGGTCAGTAATTTTCATCATAGGTACACTTCAACTGTGAAAGACAGAATGTGAAAACAAATCCATGAATTCACATGGCAGGATTTTTAAAGAATTTATTTGTAAATCAGGGTGGAAAATAAGTATTTGGTCAATAACAAAAATTCAACTCAATACGTTGTAACATAACCTTTGTTGACAATAACAGAGGTCAAACGATTACTATAGGTCTTTACCAGGTTTGCACACACAGTGGCTGGTATTTTGGCCCATTCCTCCATGCAGATCTTCTCGAGAGCAGTGATGTTTTGGGGCTGTCGCCGAGCAACACGGACTTTCAACTCCCTCCACAGATTTTCTATGGGGTTGAGGTCTGGAGACTGGCTAGGCCACTCCAGGACTTTCAAATGCTTCTTACGGAGCCACTCCTTTGTTGCCCGGGTGGTGTGTTTGGGATCATTGTCGTGTTGGAAGACCCAGCCGCGTTTCATCTTCAAAGCTCTCACTGATGGAAGGAGGTTTTGGCTCAGAATCTCACGATACATGGCCCCATTCATTCTGTCCTTAACACGGATCAGTCGTCCTGTCCCCTTAGCAGAAAAACAGCCCCAAAGCATGATGTTCCCACCCCCATGCTTCACAGTAGGTATGGTGTTCTTGGGATGCAACTCAGTATTATTCTTCCTCCAAACACGACGAGTTGAGTTTATACCAAAAAGTTCTACTTTGGTTTCATCTGACCACATGCCATTCTCCCAATCCTCTGCTGTATCATCCATGTACTCTCTGGCAAACTTCAGACGGGCCTGGACATGCACTGGCTTCAGCAGCGGAACACGTCTGGCACTGCAGGATTTGATTCCCTGCCGTTGTAGTGTGTTACTGATGGTGACCTTTGTTACTGTGGTCCCAGCTCTCTGCAGGTCATTCACCAGGTCCCCCCGTGTGGTTCTGGGATTCTTGCTTACCGTTCTCATGATCATTTTGACCTCACGGGATGAGATCTTGTGTGGAGCCCCAGATCGAGGGAGATTATCAGTGGTCTTGTATGTCTTCCATTTTCTGATAATTGTTCCCACAGTTAATTTTTTCACACCAAGCTGCTTGCCTATTGTAGATTCACTCTTCCCAGTCTGGTGCAGGTCTACAATTCTTTTCCTGGTGTCCTTCCAAAGCTCTTTGGTCTTGGCCATAGTGGAGTTTGGAGTCTGACTGTTTGAGGTTGTGGACAGGTGTCTTTTATACAGATAATGAGTTCAAACAGGTGCCATTAATACAGGTAACGAGTGGAGGACAGAAAAGCTTCTTAAAGAAGATGTTACAGGTCTGTGAGAGCCAGAGATTTTCCTTGTTTGAAGCGACCAAATACTTATTTTCCACCCTGATTTACAAATAAATTCTTTAAAAATCCTGCCATGTGAATTCATGGATTTCTTTTCACAGATTTCTGTCTCTCACAGTTGAAGTGTACCTATGATGTAAATTACTGACCTCTGTCATCATTTTAAGTGGGAGAACTTGCACAATCGGTGGCTGACTAAATACTTTTTTGCCCCACTGTAGTATTTCAGAGTCGGTATCATGAGAAAGCTGAATCCTGGATGGAGAAAATTTGGATTGCAAGTAAGCTACAAGCTGTTATTTATCAAACTGTATACAGACACTGTCTCACTGTGTTCTACATACCCAAGTGGAGACGCCCTTGCGGATCTGAAATGTCAGGGGGGTTGGAGACCCCGAGTAAAGAAGTCCATAGACAAACTCCTAATACGACCAGGTCGATCCAGGATCGCTTCCAGGTAACACAGGTGGACTGGATGGAACCAAGCGTCTCAAAACAACTCTGAAGAAGTGTCGCAAAATCAGCTTTGTTCTGCAGGAAAAATATCTTGTTGTTCAGCTTCGCAGGTGCAAAAGCTTAAGGTTTTGACTGTGTCAAAAATCCTTCTGGTGAAAGAGGCTTGCTCAGACGGCCGTTCTGAGCTTCTCTCTCTCTCTGTCTGTCTGACTTACTGAGACTGAGAGTGAAGCTCTTTTTAAGGCCTGGTGTTATCTCAGAAGTTGCCAAGCATCTCAGAACACAGTCTCTGATTCTGAACTCTGAAATGTGGGACAAGGTTATTTATGTGTCATGTCTTTATCTTAGCCTTATTCTGTCTGCAAGTGTGATGGCCTAATCCAGTAAACAAACTTAGTATCATTGAAACAGATTCATGAAACATTTCATCATTTATAATTATATATGGCAATATTTAGTGATTATTAATTATAAAATCTTAGTTATAAGATCTTCTTTTCTTCAAAGATTATTTTGAATTATAAAATGATTACTTTAGTTATGAAATCTTCTTTTCTTCTGGGAATAAACGTTTATTCTAACAGAATTCTGTGCAGAACTTTGGGGATAAGAATGCTACTGTCATCTTTCATTATCTGATGAAGCTTCAGTTCAGCTGATGAAGTCATCTGATTAAAGAGCCTGCGTGCAGACATTCCATCTCCTGTCAGGGTAAAATACAGCAGAACGTGTGTAGCCAGGGTTATTTGCTCTGGCCGTGCAAATGAACTGTGGGATCTCAAAATCAGTCCCTTTGGTGACGTTACACTGTTTTAAAATAACTTTTCTCTCCAAGATGCTTGCACAGCAAATCATTCCCAAAGACATTAAGAAGAAGAAGAAGAAAATATCATTTCTACAGCGCCTCTCAAGATAAAAATCGCAAGGCGCTTCACAAAAACAAAAAAATATAAAAATTGTACAAATATAAAAAAGCATTTCGAAAATTTTTAAAAATATATTAAAAATGAGCAAGAATAAGCAATTGCGATTTAAAAGAAAAAATGTTAAGAAAGAGAGAGAGTGAATAGGAAAGAGGGAAATCAGTGTATCCTGAGGAAGGTGGAATCGGTGGGGAGAGCAGAATAAAGAGAGAGTGGTGAAGAAGGTCATACAAAAGCCAGCTTGAACAGGTGAGTCTTCAACTGTTTCTTAAAGGAGTCCACTGAGTCCACTGATCTCAGGCTCAGGGGGAGAGAGTTCCAGAGTCTGGGGGTCACAGCAGCAAATGATCTGTCACCTTTGGTCTTTAGCCTGGTGCTGCACAACCAGTAGGCTTTGATCACTGGACCTCAGGGACCTGCTGGGGGTGTAGGGACTAAGAAGATCACCAATGTAAGATGGTGCTTGTCCATGTAAGGCCCTATAGACCAGAACCAGGATCTTGAAATGAACCCTGAAGTTGACTGGCAGCCAGTGAAGCTGGAGGAGAAGCGGGGTGATGTGGGTGTGTTTGGAGGACTTGGTCAGAAGCCGAGCACAGGCATTCTGAACCACCTATAGAAGGTTCAGGGAGGTTCTGCTCAGACACGTGAAAAGAGAGTTACAGTAGTCTAAGCGTGAGGAGATGAAGGTGTGGAGAACTGTCTCAAGTTCAGAGCGAGACAGAATGGGACTCAGCTTAGCAACGTTCCTGAGATGGAAGAGGGAAGAGTATTGGGACGTTACATTTTTACACATTTTAAAGGAACAATTCAGAAGTGATTGTTTTCTACACTGCCTCCTCTGAATATATGGTGTGTTTTTTTTTATCTGAAGTTTGGTGATTTTATAAGAGAGCATCTTCAGCAGATAAATGCTAATAGTGATGAGTCATTACTTCGGATACTTCATCTTTTATTTAATGATGCAGCTGCCATTGCGGTTTTTTGATCATGCATATGTTGGTCACCAGGGATTTCCAAAGGGAGCAAAGAGACTAAAGAATAAAAGATAGGTGCATTTATTTTCAAAGACAATAATTTTTATTGTGTGTCTTTTAACAAACTTTTTCACTTGTTAATGATTTTTGTCGGTTTTTCTGTTTATGTGGTCCTTATGCTTGTTCAGTGGCTCAGCACAGGAAGCCAGAGGCTGGGCGACTGAACAGGAAGTGACTACTGGAGGCTTTATCGTGGAGATACTGCTGTCCACACACTCAGAACTCTGATCCCCCATTCCTGCATCCTAATCTAACCAAAACACCGCCTCCACAGAGAGTCGAGTCTCAGAATAAGTAAACAAATACATAGTTGGTGCTAATGCCCAGAGGGCTTTCAAAGTGAGTGAGCTACTGCATGTAAACATGATTGTTTATCCCATTCTGGGAGAATTAAAATCAACCCTGCTGGGTTTAGTTTCTTCACCAGACGAGGAGACTTCACACCCTGGTGCGGCTGATTCATTCGCCCTGAGGCTCAGCGAGCACGTGCTTAACTGAACAGGCCTGAGCAGCGTCGCTTCTGAGATGCAAAAAAGTTCATCCCTCTTTAACTCCCGAACGCTCGTCCTCCACAAACAGAAACCCGAGGAGGCGTCTCAGTCATCTGAACTCAGTGATGCATGAGTGTGTGTCAACAGGCTCAGAGAAAACACCTCATCCTGCCATTAGGCTCTGAACAAACAAAGGAGCCCGGCTTTCTGTGATTTGCCATGTGCTGGACTGCACGAGGAAATTCGTACCTCATCTTCAGTCTGTCTTCGTGTCCGTTGTAGAGGATTGCAAATCCATAAAAGAGACTGCAGATGGTCAAGCCATGCTTTTCCTGCACAAAAGAAAGTCAGGTTTGTTTTATTCGCAGCTCAGTATTGCACATTTCATTAAAATAGCTCAAACAACCTGAGAGAACATGTAAACTTAACCAGCATCTCCATAAGCAAAGCAGAGGACTGCCATCCACACACACACACACACACACACACACACACACACACACACACACACACACACACACACACACACACACACACACACACACACACACACACACACACACACACACACACACACACACACACACACACACACACACACACACACACACTGGTGTTCTATTGTGTTTCTGTGACTGAAGGTGACAAACCAGGTGGAACAGAACACACAATAGAGTACACATAGAGTAGATATGAACCATGCAATGGGTAAAGTAGATGTAAAAAGGAAAATCTCTCAAAAACAGTGAGCCTTGTTGCACTGGAGGAAGGCCGGTAAATTTAGAGAAACAAATCAGTGACAAGACAAATAATATAAAATTGTGACGATTCTGTGTGAAGAAAGTTTGTGTTTCCCTGCAATACCTTAATAAACTGGATCAGATCAGCCAAGGTCATCTCCTGCTGATCGTCACGTCTGCCTTCAACGAGGAAGTCATCCCACTGGGTGTATTTATTTCCTGCGACCTGTTGATGGACATGTTACATAGTAATACCCCAACAATCTGCACCCCTACACACACACACACACACACACACACACACACACACACACACACACACACACACTGAGCTGACTGATGAAGTGCAGCTTGAGGAAGTTTCTTAGTCCATAAATATTTTGGTGTTGTGTTTCAAACCAGTTGTGTTTCAAACCAGTAGAGAAGAATCCTCACAAAGGTCAAAAGGGTGCTTCCTCAAGTGAATCACAAAGAATTTAGCTTTTTTGAAGACAGATTACCAAGTTTGTTTGTTTTTCAATTATAGCTAGAAAAACACCAGTTTCAGAAGTAACAGTGAATCTCTGACGTCAGCTTCTTTTCCCAAATGAAGTTGCATGCATAACTTTTCCCACTAATCATCATAAAAAAAGTCAGGTGTACTACAAAGATGTTTTTCTACAATAGGAAACTGTTCTTTAGCCTCTAAAACCAGCTTCTCTCACAACGTGGAGAAAACATTGTGTGTACTGAGCTCAGCATCTCTAAGTAACTATTCCTGCAGGAATAAACCTTCAAACCAACCCAGACAGAACAATGTAGCCCCCTGCAAACTCTTATAGTTTACTCTAAACATCCTAATCCACACATGTAGGGCCTTAGAGACAACAGCGTCGGACTAAAGCGGGTCAGGATTCTATACGTGCAAAATAAAAAAAATAAAAAAACTATAAAGGAAATTGGCCAAATATGTTGCCTGGTCAGACGGTGCAACACAGACACACATACACACACACACACACACACACACACACACAGACAGACACGCACACGCACACACGCAGTCTGGCAAGAAGAGTTGTGAATACCAAAACCCCAGCTGAACCTGGCTCCAATTATCCCTGCTCCAGCAGTCATGGGGAACTTTTCGACCAGTCCTCAAAACTCCCACCACTTATGGGGTTTCTGAGGTTTGTGGAGACACACTTGAAGCAGACCTCTCTCAAAGCTTAAACAAGTGTGTGTGTGTTTTGTCCCAGTTTTCAGACAAAGCACGTTTTGTTTGCAAGATGCACATAATAACACAAACCTGGCAGCTGTTTGAAATGTTTGCGGAGAGCTCGATAAGAGTCGAAAACCATTCATGGGCAGAACCTTAAACACACATTTAGCACAAATGAGGATTGTTTTAAATTCCTTTGCAGCAAAATGGACCTCATTTTTAAGCGGCCCCATAGCAGATATTTTCACAAGTGCTTTATGTTTAAATGCTGATTCTACACAATGCAGAGCGGGCGTGGAGTCTATTTTTACCCTCTCTCCTCCCTTCCTTCTCCTGCCTCTGAACCTGAAGAAAACCAACGGAACTAACGGTCCGTGTACTTAGCGAAGTAAAATGTTCACAACAGAATAAAGCTGGAAGAATGCTGGAACTAACGTGGCTGCTGGGAACAATTACAGAAGTTCCTCCACAAGCACAACAGCATAACTTTTTTATGGAACGTTCACAGTAAAAACAACAATGGAGCAGCTGGACTGGGAGGAGACAAAAAAAGTGAAACGGAAAAGCAGCAGCTTTTGAAAAAAAGCATTTATCTACATGCAGTGCGTTTCATTGCATACATTCAGATACATATGTTCACTAATCAAGGGTGTTAGTGTTGGTGACTAAATCACCAAGATGTAACTTGACAAAAAAAAAACGTTTATTTATGCAGCTGTGAGAACGTTTCATACATGAGGCAGCCATGTTGGATTTAGCGGTTGGAACGGGCAAAAAACTCCAATTTTTCCAGACAAAACGCCGACATTCCAGTTAATCTTCAGCTTGGAAAACTTGAGAAAGCTAATAGCGCTCAGTGAACTGGTCATTCAAACACTGCAGCAACGTTTTTCTTAAAATTGTTTTAATAAATATGGATCTGTAATGCAAACCATAAAAGTGGATTTTCAGGTTGGAATTTGCCAGGAACCTCAGATTATCTGAGTAGGAATTATGACTCAGAAGTGTTCTAGGAGATTTTTCTGACTTGGAACTCAGAAATTCCAACATCGGAAAACAAAACCAAGTCAACCAATTGTTTTACAAGAGTCGGTGACAGCTTTATCCATCTTAAATAAGTAGGGATGTTTTGTTTTGATTAACCAACATAAACCAAAGTAAAAGGTCTGCAGAGGGATGGCAAATGCAGAAATTATCACAGAAGTAAGTTGAAGAGGTAATAAAAATGATTGAGGACGTGAACGAGGCAAACCCTTCATGCTATAAGTGATTAAAAAATAAAGCTTCATAGTTTTCTGTCAGTTCTGATGGGGAAGATGTAACTGTTTCCTCTTTTCTCTCTCATCAGTAAACAAGTCTTTAAACTTCTCCTTTAATAATTACAGATGCTTTTTTTCCCCAAAGCTGAAAACAAAGTCTGTTGAACTTCCCTCTTCAACATTTAAACAGCTCATAACAAACAACGCCTCTGATGTTCTGAGCTGATGCATAAAAATCAGTGTTTAAATTTTATGACTGAAATCATTTTGTTTTTCTTCTTCCATAAGGCTAAATGTCAAAGTTTAAATTCTCATCTGTCAACCATTAAACAATGTGCATGCTGTTCCTCAACGTCTGAGCCGAACATCCAGCAGAGCAGGCTGCTTCCTCTTGTTTACAGGAAGCCTGAAGAGGTCCAGGTCTCTTCCTGAATCCAGACTGTGATTTATAAAATCAAAAATAAATTTAAAAAAATTACAAACAATAACTGACCAGCAAGTTTGTTTTTTTTTCTTTAAAAAGCATCATAAATGAGTTAAATGAGATAATGTTTGCCGTTTTAAAGGTTAAAAAGAAAACTGAACTCCCAGATGGACTAAAGCACAATCATGTTGTTCTATAATAAATGTCCACCGTGCTTCTCCAAGTCCTGCCCTTTAAAACAACGGAGACAGGAAGTGTGAATCAGCGGATATAAAGTCAACCTTCCTTTGTTCTAACTCGAGAAGCATCTCTGCGGCACGTTTCTGTCTCAGTTTTATCATCAGAGTTCCAGAGTGGAGGTGCACTCACAGCCTGGTGCGGCTGGAGGCCTGTGTAGCGGTCACACTTTATAGCGTGATGGCTGCAAATTAATTATGACCAATAAGATGTGATGATTCCATATATACTGTATATTGCTTCCCACACCAAACCTTCTGTCAGGAATCTTGGTGTGACCTTTGACCCAGCTCTCACCCTGGATTCTCATGTCAGTTCTCTTGTTCGCTCTTCCTTCTTCCATCTCAGGAACGTTGCTAAGCTGAGTACCATTCTGTCCCGCTCTGAACTTGAGACTGTTCTCCACACCTTCATCTCCTCATGCTTAGACTACTGTAACTCTCTTTTCACGTGTCTGAGCAGAACCTCCCTGAACCGTCTACAGGTGGTTCAGAATGCCTGTGCTCGGCTTCTGACCAAGTCCTCCAAACACACCCACATCACCCCGCTTCTCCTCCAGCTTCACTGGCTGCCAGTCAACTTCAGGGTTCATTTAAAGATCCTGGTTCTGGTCTATAGGGCCTTACATGGACAAGCACCATCTTACATTGGTGATCTTCTTAGTCCCTACACCCCCAGCAGGTCCCTGAGATCCAGTGATGAAAGCCTAGTGGTTGTGCAGCACCAGGCTAAAGACCAAAGGTGACAGATCATTTGCTGCTGTGGCCCCCAGAATCTGGAACTCTCTTCCCCTGAGCCTGAGATCAGTGGACTCAGTGGACTCCTTTAAAAAACAGCTGAAGACTCACTGGTTCAAGCTGGCTTTTGTATGACCTTCTTCACCACTCTCTCTTTATTCTGCTCTCCCCACCTATTCCACCTTCCTCAGGATCCACTGATGTCCCTCTTTCCTATTCACTCTCTCTCTTTCTTAACATTTTTTCTTTTAAATCGCAATTGCTTATTTTTGCTCATTTGAAATAGATTTTTAAACATTTTCTAAATGCTTTTTTATATTTTTACATTTTTTTATTTTTTGTTTTTGTGAAGCGGCTTGTGATTTTTATCTTGAGAGGCGCTAAATGATATTTTCTTCTTCTTCTTCTTCTATATGAAATATCAATCTGATTGATCTTTGAATGTTTAATCAGAAGATTCTAGGGTTCTTTACTTCTTCAAAGGAAACTTTTTCTCTTTAGGATTTCTTCAAAGCCAGTTTGGGAGTCAGACAGAGATTTGTGTGGTCTCGTTTTGATCGTATTTGTTTATCTTGTTTATCTCTTTTGGCTTCTCTTGATTCTTCTAGACATTCTGGTAACTTCAGACCTTATGTCATAGATTAGTGCACAAGTCAAACCGCTGACGGCTACTGTATACTTTTAAAATCAGTGTTCTATAAATAACCCTTTTTCTAGACTCCTAAAATAAAGGACTTTTTGAGCAATTTCATCAAAATAACCAACAGTGTGTGAATCATGTTTTGATGCTGAAAACAAATAATGTGACCTTTCACAATATTTGTGTTTTCATGCCAAGTTCATCCTTCCACTTATTGTAATGGGACTTAATGTCATGTAAATTGTACTGTTGTCTAGTCGGGAGTCTCATCTGCTACTTGATCACTATTGATCACCAGTCTCTTTGGTCTGCAGTGAAGAAACAGATGGCTAAGACCTCCAACTGCTCCTTCAGCCCCCTACGACTGAGAAAACCCACAAAGATAGGATGAAAGCAGCCCAACACTGCCTACATCAGAACTGCAACCACAGTAACATTTGGTGCACCCGAGCCAATGTGAAGGAGGTGGTGGTGGTGGTGGAGGAGGTGCAGCTCAGCAGACACTTCTCAGTTGAGTGCAGAGTTTGACACAAGGACAAAAAGAGGCCCATTGCTTTTGAAAGGCTGCCACTGACATGTAAAACAACAAATAGAATCTCATTGTGACTGTCTTTCAAATGAGAAGATAACAGCTCTCCACCTGACTGAAAATGACCCGGGGCCCAAGTACCAGGTTAATAAAACTCTGACAAATGGATCTTCAACATGCTGGAGCCCGAAAGCAGCAA